CAAGCATATAATGAAATCACAATTATCAATCATAACAAATTTAGACAAATTCAACAAATAAGGTCAAACAAGTTTATGATGTAATCCTTACTATATAGCCCACCCCTTACCTGATACGTTCACACTTATTCCTTTCAAAGCTTGATGTTGTGTTTCAGCAAAATCTATATAAGTAATAAAATACTAGTTAGAATCTTATATTTCTATGGTTCTATCTCATGAGAATTTAGATTCACGTTGTATTGCTAATCCATTTCTAATAATATTTTAAGCTCACATTCAGCTTACAATTAACTTAGAAAATTATCCTATTTTGTAGTCACTTAGAGTAGAAAGAATCCTAATAACAACCATGGACAAGATTCAGTATTTCAAAAATTTTTAGAGTTATATAAGCTGTTTTGGCATGAGATTTGAGCCAAAATTTCAATAACTTAATTACCTACAATATTGATGAAGGAAATAAATTCAAATACCCTATAGAATAGATGCAGTTTTCATTTTTCAGTGGTTGTTTCCAACTAGGCTCAACTACAATAACACTCTGAACATGCCTTGGTAATTGGATTATAACTCTTGCTACACATAAGATATTCACGTGAAATAAATTTCTAAATTTCGGGAATATAATTTCCTACAACTTTTATGAAGGAATTAAGTCCTAATTTCACACGTATCAATCTCAGTAATTCAAAAACCTAGGCTGTTGAAACAGGGCTACCTCTTAACGTCACAGCTAGAACACTTGATAGTAAAATGAGTATAACTTGAGCTACAAATATCCGTTTAATATGAAACCAGTTTCTAAATTTCGACAACTTAAAGGGCTACAACTTTTATGAAGATACCAATTCCTAATTCTGTTCACACAAGTCCCAAAAATTCAATGAATAGTACCTACGAATTAGGACTCTTAAAGTTTTTAGCTTAACCACTTCTAATCCTCAATTTTAAATATTATTCTAGTATCCTAGGTGTAAAACCTACAATAACACTCTTCCTACTCCCATTCAAGCTCATTCAAGTGAGGATAAAAATAGAAAATGCACCGTTTTGAAAAATAAAATGGTAGAAATGTAGAGGAGATTGAGATAAACCAACTTACCTCTTGGAGCTTCTCAAGAAAACTAAGATTTCTCCCTCAAAATGACGCTTGAAGGTACGAAAAGTTTTAAGAGAAAGAGAGAAACGAGTAACCTACGAAAAACTTGCAGAATGTTTCATTTAAAAGTCAAATGGTTGAGTCGTATTTCACCTTCGACTCACAATCCGCTCTGCGGATTTCTCGTGCGCCCAGCGGATATGAGGCCGCAAGTAAGAGAGAGATTTCAAACATAATCCGCTCAGCGGATTTCTGATGCGCCTAGCGGATTACATTAAAAAAATTATCTTAATTTTTTCCTTTAGCCAGGATTTGAACCCACACCCCCTAAGACTCAAATATCACTCCAAACCATATCAACCATCATATATTTCTTATTAACTTATACACATAATAAACTTTTAATGTACTCACACTCAATGCATAAAAGAAAACAATAATTTGTAAATGTGACAATTAAAATTGTTAAGTCCATACACTTTCAATTTCAACCCTAAATAGTATAATTACTATCAGGCGTCCAGTTGCCCGCGAAACGGATCAATTTTAAGTATTTTCTAAAAATTCCAAAAAAATTCTAGAAAAACACAAATAATCTAACAAACATCAAACTCTACAGTTTCTTTACCCCATTCCTAATAATTTAATTATTAAAATTTTGACAAAGATTTTGTCAAAATTTAACAAACCAGGGGTATTTAGAATCAGGATGTTACATCCTGCATGTTGAAAATGTGATAAACAACTTAATCAGAATGGAGAGAGAGAGACGTTTTCTATAGAATAGATAGTTGAAAAGATCTTGAGGTCATTAGCAAAATTTTTTAATAGCATGGTGTGTGCGATAAAACAAACAAAGGATTTGTCTAACCTATCCATATAAGAGTTAGTCGGATCTCTTAAAGCCTATGAACACCAAATGGAGAAGGATAAGGAGGAGCCGACTGAGAAAATGCTCCAGACCGAGAAGAAGATGTTCTATTATCAGAATAATAAAGAAGAGGACGAGGATGTGGTGGTTAGTCCCGAGGTGGACAATCTGGTCGAGGAGGTTTAGGCGGATTCGGTGGTCGAGGTGATGAGAAAGAAGAGGGAACTCAACAAAACTGGCGAGGTAGAGGACATGGTCCGAGAGGAGGTCAATCAACGAACCACTCAAATTTTGAGTGTTTTAAGTGTGGCAAGAAGGTCACTATGCAAAGGATTGCTACTCGGACAAGTGTTATAATTGTGGTGAGATTGAACACTTTTCGAAAGCATGTCAAAAGGTGGGTGAGACCTATCTTGTAGAATAGATGAAAGCTGAAGAAACAATATTGTTGATGATCGATCTTAACATAGGAAATAACAGTAATGACGTTCGGCAAGATACTGATCATAAGTCAGTATGGTATCTGGATGTGAGTAATCAGAAGTGTAGGGCCGAACACCTATTTAGAAAATTGGAGAAATTTAAGGACGATCATGTGTCTTTTGGAGATGACTCAAATGTCTCGGTAAAAGGCCGATGTACCATCTATTTCTTAAGGGTAATATTTTAAGTATGAGACAACTAATGGAGAGAGGATATTCGGTTTTCATGAAAGATCGAATATTAGAATTGAAGGACAAACTTGGAAGCTTGATGACCCGAGTAGACATGGGGAAAAATAGAATGTAAAAGTTGCAACTAAGAAGCACTCAAGAGAGGAATCTGAGATCAAATGTAGAGGACACGTTGAAGAAGAATCATCGATCTGGTCACATGCATTTTTGTGATTTAACCGAGTTGATTCATGATGAGAATCATGATATTGTCTAAGTTAATGAAACAAACAAATGGAATTGGGGAGAATCAGAGAAAGACAAAGGAGGTCGAACTGTTGTACCACCAGATGTTGTCAACTCGGAAGGATACCGAGCTGTTACACCACTAGTAGTACCCAGTTAAAAAACCGAGAAGTTGAAGAAAAACATGAAGAGCGTAATGCTCAGATTGTCGAGCATGGAGGGGAAAGTTTGCAAATGTGTGGTACTCGGATTGCCGAGCATGGAAGGGAGAGTTTGTGAAGGAGTGGTCGGTGACCATATCCGAGCTATTGTGGACGAGAAGGACCGAACTATTATTGAAGAGAAGATCTGAGTTGAAATTGAGGAGAAGATTTGAGCTGTTGTGGACAAGAAGATCTGAGGTGTAGTTAAAGAGAAGAACCGAGTTGCTATGGATGAGAAGATCAGAGCGAAATGACATGTTGGTGATGACCAAATTGCTGAGCTATGACCGAACTGTTGGTGTGAAACAGATGGATGTGAAGTCGACATTTCTAAATGGTGTGCTCAAGGAGGTGTATGTTAAGAAAGTACTTGGATATGTGAAGAAAGATTAGGAGTCAGGAATATGTTTGTCTAAGAGGTGTATGCGAAGGAGATCCTGAATAAGTTCAAGATGACCGATTACAATCTGGTATTAACCTCCATGGAATCAAGGAAGAAACTTTAAAAATTTGATGAAGGAAACCGAGTTGATCCGAGAAGATATTGGAGTCTAGTTGGAAGTCTTCATTACCTCACAAGTACCATATCTGATTTGTTGCTGAGTGTTGGGATTTTCAATTGGTTTATGGAGAGTCTGAGCTACTCTTATTGGAAAGTATTAAAGCGAACTTTGAAGTATATTCAGGTACACTATTACTTAGATTGTTGTACACGAGGTCAGACGATTACCGACTCATCATCGAGTATTCAAACAGTGATTGGTATGAAGATGTGGATGAAGGAAATGTGGAGGTTGTACATATGACAAGTCGAGATCAAACTACTTATATTTTCACAAAGTCATTACCTCCTACTATATTATTTGAGAAATGCAAGAAACTGATCGGGATGAAAGACGATAGGAGCTTAGGTACTTGAGAAGATGACAAGTTGGGAGATTGATAGAAAAAATATGGAAGACAGGGAGTCGAGAGATCGATATTAAGCCGATCTCAATTTCGTTGAAAAGAATAATTTTAAATGAGAGTTTTATTGAATAAAATTAAATAGTTAGTTTTAAAAGTTTATTAAAATATTTTAATATTAGTGACATCTTAAATAATTATTTTTTGATTTTGTAAAAATATTAAAAATGTGTATAAATACAGTATTGTATTTCTCACTTGCTATAACAAAAATAATAATAATATAGTTTTACCATTTTTAAGAAAAGCTCTCTTTTGAAATAGGATATTGAAATCTAAAAATAATTTTTCATATGATTTAAGATTCAGATTTACTTTTTTGTAATGGAATGAATTTTTTAAAAAGAGCTTTCTGAAATAAGCTTTTAAGATATAATCTGGATTGATCTTTTAAAAAAAAATAGAAGTGTTATGAAATCAAATTTCTAGAATATTTCTTAGAAATAAATATTTAGATGAAGTCTTAGAAAAAATTTAAGAAGATTTGGATATTTTGAATTCAAGATGCTAAATTAGGGTAATTTATTATAATCGCGTCATTAATGAAAATATGTTCTATGTATGATTTAGTTTTCATACGGTCAGAAACACAGAATAAAAACAACTCTAAACTGTACACTGTTTTTTAATTTTTTTTTGGAAATCATAAAACATTAAAAGTTTTGGAAATACATAGCAACGTTTTTTCTTTTAATTTGCAAAACATAAAACTGTCTATAAAACAGTGTACAAACACAACTGATTAAATTTTAATTTAAATATAAAGGAATAAAAATAAACACTTTTTTCATAAACATTCTATAAATTTTTTTACAAAATATTATATACTCAATTAGATTTTTTAAAAATGAGTCATTTATTCATAAGCTTAATAAAAGTTATTTAGTCATTATACATTATGATTTTGCCATCACAAACCTTTTATTTCGCTCAGAACTTTTAAACATGTTGTGATAAGTTTATATGGCACTATGGTGTTGTGAGGGATGGTGTGAAAGCACACTTGCATTCTTGCGAATTTCCTTGGTGATCTTTGGGTCCATAGGCTTCCCTTTCAGAAAATTTGAGTACCATTCAGCAGAATGCTTAGGTTGCCTTCTCAAGTCTGGGTCATCCATGTCTACGTAATACAGACCAAAACTTTTTTCATATCCACTATCTATCTCGAATACATCCATGAAGGACCATACAAAGTAACCTTTTACATTTAATCCACTCCTGTTAATATGTCAAAAAGAAAGGAAAAAGAATAAACAAGAATCAGCCTTTTGAAAACCCATTTAACTTCCTCACTTGAAAGTGAAAATAGAAGTAGCAGTACCTCAGTGCATCAACCATGCTTCCAATATATGCATGCAAGTAATCCACCCTTGGCAAGTCGTCTAATGATGAATTATGAGGTGTTTGTTGTCCTGCAAAGCTAACAAGGCTTACCATACAACTACATAACAGGGCAATTGAATATGTTCATCAAAAAAAACATGGAGCTTTGGAATTCCAAAGGAGATGCAAAGAGCATGTCATACCATTTTCTTGTACGAAAATTGGAATATTGCCATAAGAGTTCTTTAGTGAGGCTAACGTCCCTAGGAAAATCTTGGGAGTAAGTGGAATCTAAATCCATCAGCGGGTTAGTGGAAAGTATTGAAGCAAAATTTTTAAAAGAATAAAGAAATACATAAGTGGAATCACAACATGTTCCTGCTGTTACCTCGTATTTTGATGTATCATTAGGAATAAGCACTGCAACCAGAAAGAACAATAATCAGCTGTTTCATTTCCACAAAATGAGAGGATGATGGATGACATCACAGACTGATTTCACCTACTGAAGTTTACTATCCAAACTAATCTTTAGCAATAACAAGACATATATAATAATAAATTTTACACATGATTTTTAAACGTTTGATGGCATTGATTATGGTAGTTTATGGAAGAATTGAATTGATAGGGATAAGCAAAGAAAATGAAGTTGTGAATCAGATTCAGATACTAATATTTATGCATGTCAGGATGGAGCCGTGGAAGTCTATGAAAAGTATTAGCAAATGTCAGCAAGGGCAAGGGACATTGATTGGGAATTAGAAATTTAAACATGTAACAAAAAAAACCCTTAAATTCTATGATAAACAGGAAAGAAAGTCTAATTCCATTCATAAGAAGTATCTTGATTCTTAAAGTTTAGGATAGTGCCTCTCACAATAAAGAAACATTTATAGATAAGTAACTTTTGAACCTCGATAGAGAATTGGTTATGAAATAAAAATAGGTCAGGGAAATATCTTGTGACATACTTTGCAATTTTGCTGATAAATCTGCAAAGAAATCCCTGTTCTCCTTCTGTAGGTTGTCAGGACTGTCCGAAACATAAAATGAGTAGTAAAAGTTTATTCCTAAGAAATCGATTGAGCCCCTGACTAGATTTGATTCCTTTTGGGTGAAGGAAGGAAGCCTTGAGCCAGCATTCTTTTTCATTATATCCGGGTAATCTCCAAATGTAAAGGGATTCATAAACCTGCACTAACAATTCATAGACAAAAGCCAACTATATAATGTATAATTCAAAGCACATTTATTTATTTAGGAATATTATCTTGGACTTTATAAATATTATTTTTGAAGTGTTGGTCCTTTGCAATCCCAAGATGCAAATTTGTTAATGTCAAAAGTGATGCGAAAGAGATACTATGCCTAGATTGTTACTTACCATCCATTGAAGAAGTCTTGGACCCTCTGAGTAGCCATTATATCTTCAGTAGAATTTGTTAGTGGAAGAAAACCTAAAGTAAGGAGACTAAACCCAATTAAGCCATGCTGCATGCCCTGCATCCAAAAGAATTTGTTTTTCTGAATACATTAAACTATGATTAACACCATTTTCAAAAGACATCATCGTGATGATCACCTTCCTGATTATGTTTTAAAATGTATACACAGTAGAGTGGTGCAATTGTTACATAATTTTTACCTGGTATTTCTTTCTATATACCGTAGCAGCTGAAGCATGTGCTAACAACATATGATGGGCAACCAAATATGGCTCAGTTGAGGAATTTCCTCTGGAACAGTTAAATGTAGAGGAAGGAGAACACCGCTGAGGTGGTGCATTTCCTATATCATAGCTACCTACTGCATAAATATTGGCCTCATTCACTGTAGTCCAATACCTAACTCTGTCTCCAAATTCTCTAAAGCACACATCTGCATATTCTGTGAAGTCTTTCCTACAAGCATGCATATATATACATATGTTAATAGCAATAAATTCCAGTTCTCAATTTAAAATTTATTTTGCAAAATCTCAATTCAGGGCAATCTCTATAGAGACTTGGAAGTTTGAGAACCATACACAACTCTTCGACTAACCCATCCTCCATATTCATCCTCAAGTGCTTGTGGTAGATCAAAATGGTGTAATGTAACATGTGCTTCAATTCCTACATTATGAGGAATCATTCACAAGAAGAAATGTTCATCAGATAACCTGGAAGAATCTCTCTTAGACGTTTAATCAAACTTTAAGAGGAAAATCTTGTTATCACAAGAACCATGGCTTATCAATTCATTAATAAGGTTGTTGTAATACTGTAGTCCCTTGCGATTCACTTGTCCTCTTCCATCTGGTAGTAAATGGTAATAAGATGGTCAGAACAGTATGGAAATAACAATTTGATCCTGGCAACTATATTCAATTCAAGCCAGAAATTCATTGCCCCTAAATCAGACCAAGTGTGTGTATCTATAAAAAATACTTTTCACATGTATTTTAGACATTGATTTAAGAACATCCCAAATCTCTCACCTGGAATAAGCCTTGACCATGATATAGAAAATCTGTAGGCTTCTAAGCCCATGTTGGACATGAGCTGAACATCTTCCTGCAGGAAATCAAGGTGCGGTATGAGCTCAAAAAACTACATAGTCTTTTTAGTTTAACAAAAATTTAAGACAAGTGGTGCATATAAGATGCATCTTTAGTGTATGCATCCATGTATATACAGGAGGAATTTCTTTCAGTTCTTTATATGTATACTCCAGGGTCACTGACCTTATATTTGTGATATTGATCACATGTAACATCTCCATCACCTGCATACATATTCGCTGAACATACTTTTGCATTAAATTTCCATGAACAAAAAGATAACCAATAAACCTTAAAAAAAAAGGAATTAAATCTCAAAAGAAATGAAACATATTGTATATATATGTGAGTACTGAGCAGAGGGTAGTACCATTTCCAGAATGAGAGAAGGTGTCCCATGTGCTTGGCTTCCTTCCATCTTCATTTGCTGCACCTTCAACCTTTCACATCACCCCAATTAAAAATTCAAACACATGAATACATATTCAGCAAAGAATCACAAGACTAGGACAGTGAAAGGAAGAAGCTTCAAGAGAGGGAGGGAGAGAGAAGAACCTGGTAAGCTGAGGTTGATGCGCCAAACACGAAGTCAGGAGGGAACTGGTCTCTGCTCAAGGCATGAACACCAGGGTGGACTATCAGAAACACTAATTCTATAACTGCTAATACCTTCAACATCAACACCATAATATGCATGCTTTTCTTCTTCATGCTGTGTTCTATTTTAGTGCCTTGAAAATCAAACGCAAATGTCGGTGCTTTATTGGGATTCAACTCTTACATACAGTGGCGATCATGATAATTGAATGTTGATAAATGATTTCAGAAATAATAAATAAATATAAAATGAGAAAAAGGAGAAAAAAAAAGTAAGAAAATAAAATTGAAAACGTATAAATAAATATATTAAATAATTATTAAATTTAAAAAAATAAAATTATAAATTATATAAAAATTAAGAATGATAAAAAAAATAAAATTATAAATGTATAAATAAATATATTAAATAATTATTAAATTTTAAAATTAAAATTATAAATTAAATAAGAATTACAATTTCACGTCCTCCCATCCTCCAGTAGATCTTGTTCAGTGGAAAAAAATAAATTATAAATATTCATTCAATCTAAAAAAAATAAAATGATAGATTTAATAAAATTTACAAAAGATTTGCGCAGGTGCCTACAAGATCCGGCACTGCATCCCGGCAACTCGAAGATGATCCGCTGCACACATAACACTATATCATTAAACGAGTGAAAATGATGTTGCCACGTGACCGTTGAAATGGATAAAAGATTCACGTGACAAATTCAGTTCACCTACCTAATGTCATTGACACTAATTTAAAAATGATATTCGTCTCTTTTATTTAATTTAAAAATCTCATATTGACTAAAATTAACATATAAATTATAAAAATTAAAATTTTTTAATATAAAAGTTAAAGAACTTTTTATAAAAAAATTGAATAGTTTAAATATTATACATTAAAAATATTATAAAACTTATATTGCAAATTATAAATTCTCGTATAAAATATATCAAAATATTTTTTGAGAAAATATTATTTTAAAAAATATATATATTTAATTTTATCAGTTTATTATTATATGTACCTATGATTTTAGTGCATGAATAAATAAAAAAATAAAGGAATGTTTTCTTTACTATAAATAACATAATTATTTACTTTATTTATGTAATTATTTATTAAATTTTAATCAAATTCCTCAATTTTTAAATACAATAATGTTCGTTTTCCATATCCAATAAAAAAACTGTATTCGTGTTATGAGATGAGCAGGGAAGAGGACCATATTTGCGCACATTTCTTTCATCTGATTCCTTTCCCTGGAAGAGCATAATTGAAAGGAACAAAAAAACCAACTAAAGTTTTTTTTTTTTTTTTTACTATTTTTTTAATATCATTTTCCTATTATTTTTTATGTAAATTTCATTCATTTATTTTAAAATAAATAAATATTTTAAAAAATATTTATTATTTAAAGGAATATATGACGTAATTATATTTATTAACTTATTATTAATATTAATGTGACAATGCATATTTATATTGCATTTTATTCTTAATATTGTGAATATATGTTTATATACGAAAATTTACCTTTATGCAAATAAGGGAGAAGAGAAGATTGAAATGCAAATGAAAATAAAGCATAGAAACAAAAGTGAGAATCGATAAGTAAAGTTCTTAAAAAGAAACATATCTATGGTTAAGGGTTAAATTGCGTCTAGTGAAATCAAGTATACACCACTTGTCACACACAAAGTTATTATTCATTTTCAAGGGCAGGTAATTATGAAATCATTGATTGTGAAATTTAGAATATAATATTACCATTTTAGAAAGATTAATTCAAAAAGTTTTTTTAAACCGAATCTAAAAATAATTTTTCATATGATTTAAGATTCAGATTTACTTTTTTATAATGGAATGAGTTTTTTAAAAAGAGCTTTCTGAAATAAGCTTTTAAGATATAATCTGGATTGATCTTTTAAAAAAAAATTAGAAGTGTTACGAAATCAAATTTCTAGAATATTTCTTAGAAATAAATATTTGGATGAAGTCTGACAAAAAATTTAAGAAGATTTGGATATTTTGAAATTTATTATAATCGCGTCATTAATGAAAATATGTTCTATATATGATTTTAGTTTTCATACACAGAATAAAAACAACTCTAAATTCTGCATTATTTTATTTATTTATTTATTTTTAAATAGATTGCAACGTTTTCTTTTTAATTTGCAAAACATAAAACTGTCTTGTGTACAAACACACCTGATTAAATTTTAATTTAAACTAAACACTTTTTTAATAAACATTCTATAATTTCTTTTAAAAAATTATTATATACTCAATTAGATTTTTTAAAAATATGAGTAATTTATTCATAAGCTTAATATAAGTTATTTAGTCATTATGAAATGTGAGAGGAGGATGGATGATGGATGACATCACAAACTGAAGTTTACTATCTAAACTAATCTTTAGCAATAACAAGACATACATAATAATAAATTTTACGCAGGATTTTTAAACGTTTGATGACATTGAATATGGTAGTTTATGGATGAATTGAATTGATAGAGATAAGCAAAGAAAACGAAGTTGTGAATTAGATTCAGATACTAATATTCAAACAAAAAAACTAATTATAATTAATGATATAAATATGTATCACTAAAATTATAAATTTATCACAATTAATATCTAGTAACAATAATTTAATTATCACTAATACATATTATGTATTAATGTAATTGTAACAATATTTTTAAATATCACTAAAATTAATTTTTATAATAAAAAAATATATTTAACATTAATAATTATATATAATAATAATAATAATAAATGGTCACAAATATATTAAACAGTAATAATAAATAAAGTTATCACTATTAAAAGTTAATAAAAAATAATTATTTTAATATAAAAAATATTTTAAAAATACAATAATGAATTAACTATTATTTATAATTTATAGAAATAATTATTATTAATTTAATATCGCAAATATATAAACAATAGTAATTATTTGTCATTATCATAATTTATAAAATAATTATTATTGGTTTAATTTCATATATATATATATATATATATTCATATATAAATAAAGATAATAATAAATTAATTATTATTGTTTATAATTTTTATAATAAGAATAATTTTAATATTAATTTGTTGTTATTATTAATTTTTAAAATTATTATTTAATCATTAAATTATTAAATATAAATGATATGCAAGTCTTCTAAGTTTGCTTCATTATTCAAAAGTTATAATGAATAGATAAATTATTTTAAAATATTAAAATAAACAAATATTTAAACATAATTTATCCCTTATATTGTGAATGATAAAAACTATAACGCAATAAATATTTAACAAGATTCTAAATTCAAAACAACTGTATATATTTTTACTCCAAGCTATTACAATTGAACATTGTATTGTCTTATCTTGTAAAATAAAATAAAATAATTAACAATATTTATTAGTAAAAAAATAAAATAACTTATCTCATTTGATGGAACCTTGAATCATTAGATACTCTTGATAAGTCACCTAATAAAATAGTTATATGATTCTACAATATAGTTAAATTATCCTCGGATATCTCTTTTCAAACATATCTTATTGAGAAAGAAGGATCATGACCCTCCCAAAATTTTGTAACTCTCATGTAATTTGGCCCTCAAACTTAATTATCATTTTTATGTAATTTATGATTTTGGTCTTCCAAATTTAATAATCATTTAATATATTTATTAGTATATTTACAATTTTATTCTCTCAGTCTCTTCTCACTCTCTTATAATTTATGATTGCCCTTCCAAAACTTAATTATTATTTAATATATTTACTTATACATTTACAATTTTATCCTTTCACTCTTTCATTTTCTCTAATCTTTTTATATTTATTTATTATTTATTAATAATATATGATCTGCTTCGAAATCAATGATTAATATTCATCATTGTACGGTTGCTTCAGCTTTAAAATATTTAGCATGTTTTCCATATAACTTAAAGTATGGAAGAGGAAAATGGATATCAAATTGTTTGTTTATTGTAGGTAGTTTTGCCTCTCTTTTTTGTCTTTTTTTTCTTTTCTTTTTAAGTTTTGCATTTATGGTATATCCAGTCTCCTTGAAACTTGTTTGTGTAAAATAAATTATTAAAAATAAATCAGTAACAATTTTAATAAATAATTTACAAAATTTTAGAAAAGATGTCAAATATATGTAATTTCTTCAAGATTAGGACCATTGAACTATGAGTCAATGATCCTTTTAAAATTTGATTGTGGAGATTTACTCTACATTTTGGAGATAATTTGTGAATGTCAAAATTTCCTTCATGTAACTATATAATTGTTAGGAAAAAAAAATTAATTCCTAAAAATATGAGAACTTAAATTTCAGCATGTAAATAATTATCAATTAGTCGAGGAGAAGAGAAATATTACATTGAAAACCACAACCCTAATATAATTTTATTATCGTAATATTTATTATAAATAAATAAAATATTATATTTTAAAGAATTTACAAAAGAATTTAAAAAAATATATATTAATTACACACGTAAAATGTAATTTTATATTTTTTTAATATATTTTATATTTATTATTTTATTATAATTTACGATAATTATAATAATAATAACTATTATTATTATTATTATTAATAAATTTATTATATCACAATCACTTGACAATTTCGGTCGAACAACCTATCATGTAAGGAGCGCAAAAGAGGCCCCTGACGTCCATTCAGCGTTTGTTTCATTAAAAATTGGATTATACGAGATGGTAGGTGGTTGATTCGTTACATCACATATGCATCACATATTTCAGCTCCACATATTTCAGCTCCTTTCATTAAAAGTAGTGGTTGATTCGTTACATCACATATTTCAGCTCCTTTCATTAAAAGTAGATGAATGGGTAAGTTTATTCATATATTTTTTATATAATTTTTTTTAATAATATATCTTAATTATATGAATAATTTTTAAATATTTATTTATTAATAATTTATTAAATAAATTTTAAAAGTATGATATTTTATATATTAAAATAATTAATTATAATTAATAATATAAATTTAATTAGTTAATAATTATAATATTATAATATATACATATAAAAAAATGTAATTTTTAATTATATTTTTAAATTAATCAATTCATTAAATTATTTTCTATTTCGTATATTTAGTTTCTTCATATTTACTTAATTTATTCAACTAACTTTGACAAACACAAAAGTTAATTTCTATTATTTTTATCTTTTTTTAAATATTCTATATCAATCTTAATAATATCTATTAGTAATTGGTATCTTCGATGAATATTTGGTATTTCTAATGAATATTTCCTTTGATATATTTTTAATGATATCCAAGAGGTAGTTAGAAATTATAAAGGTAGATGATTAATTCAATTTTAAAATTCTTCAAAGATAAATGATAATTGATTAAATTCAGCACTAAAAGCTAATAATCGATGTTGATACTTAATCAATATATAACTATGTTTTTATATTGCACCAAAATAATCAATTATTTTTTTTTCTAATCAATTATCTAAATTAGTTAAAACTGTTTCAATTCTTTAAATTGAAGAAAACTTTTGACAATTAAACAAACTTTTGAAATACAGATTTAAAAAAGGAGAGTTTATGTGGCCACTGAAACAACCGTCAAATGTGGTGAATCTCTTTAAAATTGAAGAAAACTTTTGCTAATTAAACAAACTTTTCAAATACAATCAAATTTAGAAAAAAAGAGAGTTGATGTGGACATTGAAACAACTGTCAAGGTGGTGAATCATTTTTGTGCAAATAAAAGAACTCAATATGATGTTAGAGCTAGGAATATTATTTCTTCTGTAGTAACACTTGATGAATTATATAAAATCTCAGTTTGTGAAACAACTACAGAAATGTGGAGTGCTCTTGAAGTTACTCATGAAGGAACTGAAGAAGTAAAGAGGACAAGAACGAATACTTTCATTCAAGAATATGAAATGTTTAGAATGAAGACTGGAGAGAATGTATATGATATCCATAAAAAGGTTTATTCATACTGTGAATCATTTGATGACTCTTGGAAATGTTTTTGACAAAGAGGAATTGAACATCAAGATTCTAAAGTATTTAGGAAGAATTTGGCAACTGTCGCAACCGAAATTGCGGCGGGACGACAGACCAAAATCTTTTAATATTAAAAAAAAAATCACAGTTTTGGAGTTGTCACCATAGTTTATTCTGGAAAACTGTGGAAAACCATAAAAATAAGATAAGGTCTACGAAAACCGGATTCAGGTTCGTCCTAAGACGGTTACCCTTAGTTGAATGTATGAAATTGAATATTATTTTAAAAATATTTATTTTCCCCAAAATCGAGAGAACAAAGAAAGAAAAAGGAAAAAGAAAAGAATAGACTAAAATATTTTTTAGTTTTTTGGGGCTCGACAATGATCGACCTTGCTCCTATGTATTCTCATTCAAAATGAGAAATCAGGATTATGATTTGAAATATTTTAGTGTTTTCTGAAAGAGTTTTGTATTTTGTTTTGGGTTTTGAATATTGTTTTTGATGTTTTGAAAGACACATGATGACACGTGCGACCATACTCGTGTTTCAAAAGTTTTTTTTTTTTTTTAAATCAGAGTTTTGGAGTCGTCACTATATTTTATTCTGAAAAACTATGAAAAATCATAAAGATGAGACAAGGTTTATGAAAACCGGATTCGGGTTCGGAAATAGGTTACGTGTAGGGAAGGTATTAACAACCTACAACGTCCGTCCTAAGACGGTTATCCTTAGTTGAATGTGTGAAATTAAATATCATTTTAAAAATAGTTATTTTCCCCAAAATCAGAGAACAAAGAAAGAAAAAGGAAAAATAAAAGAATGATTTAAAATATTTTTTAGTTTTTTGAGGCCCGACAAAGATCGATCTTGCTCCTACGTGTTCTCATTCAAAATGAGAAATCAGGATTACGTACTTCTTTGTAGAAAAAAGTTTGTATATTAAGGTTTGAAATATTTTGATGTTTTTTGAAAGAGTTTTGTATTTTATTTTGGCTTTTGAGTATTGCTTTTGATGTTTTGGAAGACACATGATGACGTATGCAGACTTTTTTTCATAAATATTACTGTTTTTAAAAATATTTTCCAAAATAGCACCTCTACAACTTTATTTACACAACTAGCACTGTTTACTGTTCACGGATTAAAATAATATTATTTCGTGCAACTGTTTACTGTTCACATATTAAAATAATATTATTTTGCGCAATGAACTCTCGCTCAAGCGAAGAAACCCTTCGCTTGAGCGAGGAAATCCGTAAGAACGCAGTTATCTCTGGTCAACTCTCGCTCAAGCGACAGATATTTCGCTTGAGCGAGAAGTGATTAAAATATGTGGTGACCCAAGTTGCGTTATGTGGCTAACTGCGTTGGACGTTTAGCGAAATAATGCAACTTGGGTTTAGATAGCGGTTCTAGAACTAACCGCTATTAAAAATATATTTTAGATAGCGGTTCCACGTTAACCGCTATGTAAAATATACTTTTAATAGCGGTCAATTCTACAACCGCTATCTAAAATCTCGGGTAAATTCTAGCTCAAGCGACGGTAATTTCACTTGAGCGATAAGTGATTGAAATATGTGGTGACCCAGGTTGCATTATGTGGCTAACTGCATTGGACGTTTAGCTATGGTCAATTCTCGCTCGAGCGAGAAGTTCATCGCTTGAGCGAGAAAACCTGCAGGTGACCCAGGTTGCATTATATGATGTTGCTGAAAGGGGAGTTTGTTCTGTTTATGAAATTATCTTGTGTGTGTATTGTTTTACCTGGAGCTGACTGTAATTGATTCATTGAAGGTGAATATGGGGATGATAGCATGTAAAGAGAATTTAAAATTTCTTGACTGATGGTTGGTTGGTTACTCAGGGTTAAAGTGCTTGAGGTTGTGGGGCTGTCAAGCATCAATTTTGTGGAGTGGCTTAGAATGATCAAAGAAGTGTTTTTACAGTATTTTAATCGATACAAAACCCTGTAGAACCCATTATGACCGATCAGATTTGAAATATGAGTGATCAGAACTTATTTCAATCGATTAAAACACGTTTCAATGGATTAAAATCACTTAAAGGGTCAGAATGATCGATCAGAATGAAGTTATGACCGATCAGAGTTGGTTATGATCGATCAAAATTGAATTATGACCGATCAGATCTGTTTCAATCGATTAAAACTCATTTCAATCGATTAAAACAACTTGGAAAAATTTTGTACAAAGTTTTAATCGATTAAAACTTCTTTTTATCAGCTAAAATAACTTGGAAAGTTTTATAAGAAAGTTTTGCAGTATATCAATCGATTAAAACACGAAACAATCGATTAAAATTTCTTGACTGATGGTTGGTCATTCTTGTTATATTGAGTTGTATGACTGATATGTGCATCAATAGTTAGCAAAAAGTTCCTTAAATAACCTTTGATTTCATCAAACTCAAAAGATCTTCGTTTTATCAAATGATTCAATAAGATCTTCATCACTTTCAATTAATTGAAAAACTCCTAAGTTTCATACATTGAGACATTTCTTAACTAACACAATCTAATGATGCAAAGTAGATGCACATGCATCATTAGGACATGTTCTTCTGCTATGACCAGGGGTATGACAATATGAACATTTTTTAATCATACTTTGATGTTCTGTAATGTCCATCTCAGTTCTTATACGACTTGATTTTGGTCGGCCCTTTGAAGTTCTTTTCATTTCTGGATTTGCACATAAAGTAGGTCCTGTGTATGTTGGCCAATATTCTTCATTTGCACATAAATTTTTGACCAAAATTTCAGAGTATACATGACCAGCATTGATCATGGCATCTATCTGCCTCCCTCTTTCAATGAAAAATTTGTTGCAACGGGTGTACGTTGCGGTGACCATGGAGCAAATAGGTAGATTTCTTGTTTTTTTCAAAACAGAGTTGATAGACTCTGCTATGTTGGTCGTCATGTGGCCCCAACGTCGCCCATTGTCCCATGCAAGTGCCCATTTTTCTCTAGGTATCTCATCCAACCAATTAGCTGCTTGTATGTCACATTGCCTCAAGATGTTGTAATAATAGTAGAATCGTGGTTCAGTCATCCCATACGCTACAACAATATTAAAAAAACATAGTTAATATAAATATTTATTAGCAACAATTAAATAATGAATAAATTGTAACAAATTTGAAGCAAAGGAATTACCCATATTTACAACATCTTTCCTCATTGCGGTGTTTTTGAAATGTCTCATAAAATTCTGTGCAATGTGTCTAATGCAGTAGACATGCATTGAATTATTTTCTGTCCATCCGCTTCCATTTCTCATGTATGCACTTCTAATGGATTCATGTCGGTCTGATATGAGGTATAATCCTTGCTGGGGTGTGACATATCTTTGAAGGTTTTTTAAGAAAAAAAACCAGGCATCACTTGTTTCACCTTCAACTACTGCAAACGCAATGGGGAGGATGTTGTTGCGGCCATCTTGTGCTACTGCAACCAACAAGGTACCTCTATATTTTCCATACAAAAAAGTTCCGTCCACTTGAACAATGAGCTTGCAGTGAACAAATCCATCTATGCATGACCTAAACGCCCAAAACACACGTTTAAAAATATTTGAATTTTGTTGAAGGACTTCACCTTGGTAAGCTGGTTGTGACTGCAGTTTGTAGATGAATCCAGGAACAAATTGTTGCATCGCTTGTAACAAACAAGGCAACTTCTTATACGAATCCTCCCAATTGCCGTAGATGATCTCCACTGCCTTTTGTTTTGCCAACCAGGCCTTCCTGTATGTTATAGTGTAACCCGTTGTTAATTGGATGTGGACTATGATTGTGGATATTGGTGTTGACGAATCAGCATCAATTATTTGACCAATTGTTTGGGAAATCATTTTATATCCCAACTTGTTGTGGTCTTGGCTGATTAATGGCGAAACGCATGTATGGTGCCCTTCAAGCTTCATAATCTCCCAATATTGCTCTCTTGTGCGCAATATTGCTCGACATCTCCAATTGCATTGGTTATCACCACATTCAACAACATATCTACTTTGGTTTGAAATTTTCACCTTGTATGTGCAGTGATTGACAATGTGAAAACGGTTGATGACATCTTGAACTTGTTCTTTTGTTATGAAACGTTGTCCAAGAAATAGAGTTCCTGCCGGAGAAACAAAAGACTCTCTGTCCAACGCATGACCATACTCTGGGTCTTGTTGTGGAATGTGATTTTCAAAGTTAAGAAAATGTTGTGGTGGGTTGTATGGTTCCATGAAGTTTGGTGCATGTGTAGGGATATGTGGTTGTTCGTCCTCTGAATCATCTTGGTGTTGGCTGAGAATTTCATCTTCGTCTTCATCCTCACTAAAAGGATCAACGACTTCAATTGGGAGGCCAACAATTTCGTTCTCTTGTGTGGGTAGTTCTTCGTTGATGTTGGTGGAAGGGCCACTTAGAAGTTGGGTAAAAGGGATGTAGTCATTATGTGTGGGTATTTCTGGGTGAGTGTTTGGGAAAGCTTGGTAGGGTAAGGGTGAAATTTCTGGTGAGTGTGTGTTGGGGTATGAAGAAGAAGAAGTTTTAAATGAAACAAAAATTTCAATACCACATAGACTTGAGTTTGAATCATGAACATCGAACATGGCCTCCACGTCGTCATCATCTTTTAACTCAACAGTAATGAAGTTGTTGATCCCAACTCCGAGTCTAGTTGGACAGCGAAAATGGATGGTTGCTACATTTTTGTGGGGTTCTTTCTCCAATTTCTTGTGGATCAACTTCTTCAACCTTTGTAGAGAAATTCCTCTCTTTAAAGGAACAAGTTTTGCAGTCCCAGTATTGAAGGTCACTCCCTCCATGGGACATGGGTTCATGAAACCATCATAGTGGACAATAGTAGACACTACACCCATTTTAGGAGTGTGGAACACAAAGAAGACTAAAGGTAAGAAGAAGAAATAATGCAAATAACTTCAGAGATTTAGGAGTGTGCAATGTGAGAACTTCAAAGAATGAAAGTAGTCTATTTATAATGAAGTCCATTGCTTTGAATCCAATGCTCCCTCACATGGTTTCTGACGCACACAAAACCCAAGCAAAGTGGGTGGGTCAACATCTCTTTAAATATGTTTGGATTCTTCTCGCTTTTGTCTAACCCAATGCGAGGAATCCAAGATTGGAATCCTAACTTAGGTGGGTAACTCAAGCATTGGATTCTTTACTTGTGTGCATCAGACAGACATGGGAATCCTGACTTGGGTGGGTGACTCAGCATTGTAAATAGTTGCAGGTTTTCTCGCTCAAGCGATGGTTTTCTCGCTCAAGCGATGGTTTTCTCGCTTGAGCTAAAATTGACCAAGCTAAACGTCCAACGCAGTTAGCCACATAATGCAACTTGGGTCACCACATATTTCAATCACTTATCGCTCAAGCGAAAGTACCCGTCGCTTGAGCGAGACAGAACCCGAGAGTCCCCCTTGTTTGAAGGCTTCATCGCTCAAGTGATGACTTTTTCGCTTGAGCGAGTTTTGACCGAATGATGAAACGTCAAACGCAGGTAGCCAAATAATATAACTTGATTCACCACATATTAGAATCACTTGTCGCTCAAGCGTTCATAACGTCGCTTGAGCGAGACAGAACCCGAGAATCACCCATCTTTCCAGGTGTCCTCGCTCAAGCGATGTGTTTTTCGCTTGAGTGACCTTAGATAGCGGTTCTAGAACAACCGCTATTAAAAGTATATTTTACATAGCGGTTAACGTGGAACCGCTATTATATGTCAATTATTTTTAAAACTATGATCGATTATTTCACGTTATAATCGATTATCAATTTATTCGCTCAAGCGATGAGTGTCTCGCTTGAGCGAGAGTTGCCCATTCAACTATATGTCTCACTTTTAAGAGCGGTTAATATTTTAACCGCTCTTAGAAGTGAACATATAATAGTGGTTCCACGTTAACCGCTATCTAAAATATATTTTTAATTGCGGTTAGTTCTAGAACCGCTATCTAAAGTCTCGGGTCAACTATCGCTCAAGCGACGGATATTTCGCTTGAGCGAAAAGTGATTGAAATATGTGGTGACCCAAGTTGCATTATTTGGCTAAACGTCCAACGCAGTTAGCCACATAACGCAACTTGGGTCACCACATATTTTAATCACTTATCGCTCAAGCGAAATATCTGTCGCTTAAGCGAGTGTTGACCGGAAATAACCCTTTCTTACGGATTTTCTCGCTCAAGCGAAGGGTTTCTTCGCTTGAGCGAGAGTTCATTGCGCAAAATAATATTATTTTAATACATGAACAGTAAACAGTTGCACGAAATAATATTATTTTAATCCGTGAACAGTAAACAGTGCTAGTTGTGTAAATAAAGTTGCAGAGGTGCTATTTTGGAAAATATTTTTAAAAACAGTATTATTTATGAAAAAAAGTCGACGTATGCGGCCATATTCGTGTTTCAAAGGTTTATTTAAAAAAAAATCAGTTTTGGAGTCGTCACCATAGTTTATTCTGGAAAACTATGAAAAACCATAAAGATAAGACAAGATCTACGAAAACAAGATTCAAGCTCGGAATTCAGTTACGTGTAGGAAAGGTATTAACAATCCAATGTCCGTCCTAAGACGGTTACCCTTAGTTGAATGTGCGAAATTGAATGTCATTTTAAAAATATTTATTTTTCCCAAGATCAGAGAACAAAGAAAGGAAAAGGAAAAAGAAAAGATTGGACTAAAATATTTTTTAGTTTTCTGGAGCCCAACAAGGATCGACCTTGCTCCTACGTAGTTCTTTGAAATATTTTGGTGTTTTTTGAAAGAGTTTTATATTTTGTTTTGGGTTTTGAATATTGTTTTTGATGTTTTGGAAAACACATGATGACGCGTACGATCATACCCGTGTTTCAAATGTTTATTTAAAATAGAGGACATGACGACACGAGTGGTTGTACCCCTTACCTCAAAGTTTATTTAATATAGAGGACATGACGACGAGAATAGTAATTCCTATACCTCAAAGTTTATTTAAAATAGAGAACATGACGATGCAAAACGATTGTACTTGTAACTCAAAGTTTATTTAAAATAAAGGACATGACGACGCGAACGACCATACCATACCTCAAAGTTTATTATGAAAAAAAGAAAAGAATACATAAAGGATCGAACATCCAAATAAACTAAATCAAAGACACATGACAACACGTGCGACCATACTCGTGCTTCAAAGGTTTATTTAAAATAGAGGATATAATAACGCGAACGATCGTATCCATACCTCAAAATTTATTTAAAATAGAGAACATGACGACGCGAACGACCGTACCCTACCTCAAAGATTATTTAAAATAAAGGACATGATGATATGAACAACCATACTCGTACCTCAAAATTTATTTAAAATAAAAGACATAATGACACGAACGACCGTATCCATATCTCAAAATTTATATAAAATAAAGGAATGACATAAATGATCGTTCGTACCTTACAGTTTATTTAAAATTATTTAAAATAAAAGATATGATGACATGAACCTCAAAGTTTATTTAAAAGAAAGGACCAGTATCGTATCTCAAAGTTTATTTAAAATAAAGGACATGATACGGTATCCCACAGTTTATTTTAAAATAAAGGGGATAGTTGATTTAAAATAAAGCACATGACTGCACGAATGACACGAACGTAGCCGTACACAAAGGACCGAACGTCCAAATAAACTAGATCGAACATGGGGCCGACATGCATAACAGAACTGAAATCACCTATCCAGTCCACAATCAGACAAACAAAACCACACAAAAACACCCTAATCCGAATCCGACAAACTCTAATCAGAAACAAATATGCCTAACGGGCATAACATTGTCCAAATCAACAAGGCTACATGCAGTCCCATATCAGAAACTAGCAAAAACGTCAATAAAACAGCAAAAAAAAACAAAGAAACAAACCCCAAGTTGAATCTCTTTAGCAAGATGGCTTGCTGCTGAGTCGATGGAAGGCTGTGGCAGCGAGATGGGGATGGGGTTAAGGGTGGCGGGGTGAGGGACTGAGGTGGTTACAGGATGGCACGCGGTGGTGTGGTCGCGGAGGGCTAGTGAGGTGATGACCGGTTCCAGTGAGGGAAGAATGGTGGTAGGGCTGAGTGAGGCATGGTCGGTGGCGATTTGAATGGCTCACGACCAGTTTTTTTTTTAGGGCGATGCGGAGATGGTTCGAGGGAAGACGAGATGGGTAAGGCGAGGTGAGGGTGAGGGAGGCTCGATTTGGGGCTAGTTGATGCAAGGAGAAGGTGCTGACCGTGGGATTTGGTAGGGCGGTGTGGCTAGGAGGTGAGTCGAAGATGAAGCGGATGATTGCTATGGTGGTGCGTTGCGCGAATCTAGGGTCGTGTCGTTGTCAGGGTTCGAGTAAGAATGATACTGCGAAGGCTAGGACTGACTCGTGGTGGCTTGGGGCACAACGAAGGTGTTGGCACGACGAAATCGAGGGTCCGCAGTGATGAGAGGGGCTGATTGAGAGTGGGGGATGGAAAATTTGGGTTAAGGTTGGAATGAAGGTAGTGAGGTGGTCCAGTGCCCGTGAGTGGGACTGTGTAGAGTGGCTGGCGGCAGATGCTGGAAAGTAGGCATGTCAGAGGCGGGTTGTGGTCAACCGAATTTTTTAATCATTCTAGTCATTCTTGTATCTGTATTTCGTATTAGAAATTAAGTCCTTTATTTTCATCTTTGTTGGGTTTTGAGTGGTCTGTCCCGTCTTTCGATTTATATTATTTTTAAAAAAATAATTATATTTATAATAAATTAATTTTATTATCTTTTTTTATATATAAATAAATATTTATAATTTTATAATTATTATTAATTAAATATATATTTTAAGTTATTATATTTATATTAAAAATATGTATATAAAAGAAATATTTAATCATTTTTTATTTATAACATTATTATTATTATTATAATATCTGTATTCAAATATTTGAATACTTATAATATTATTATTATAATACTGTATTCAAATATTTGATTATATATATAAGTTAATTCATTTTTAAGTTGTCATTTAAAAATATGAAATATATAGTTTATAAGGAAATATTTAATAAGTTAATTCTTATTCAATTAGTTCAAGTAATAAAAGTTTAAATTATCAATTCCTTTAATCCTTTAAAATATAATTATTTTATTAAGATAAAATTTGATATATGATAAATAATAATAATAAGATAAAAAATATGACATAATAAAACCTAATAAATATAAATTATCAATAAAATAATATTAGTTACTACTAAGATTTATGTAAAATATTTAGAAAAAGATAAAGAATAAAAAAATTAAGTTCATCAAATTGGTTGAGAAGATTGAAAAAAACAAATTGATGGGAGAGATTAAGAAATGTGAAGGTAAGAGAAAAAATAATGTAATAAATTAATTTATATAAAAGATTAAAAAAGATAAAAAATTAAAAAGTGGGTAAAAAAAAAATTGGTAAAATATAAAAAAATGACATTATATGTAATAAAAAAAATACTTTTAAAATATTAATATTTTAAAATTTAAATTTAAATATAAAGTCGGGCGTGGACGAGATCGGGGTGGAGATTACATTACCCATCCCCGTCCCCGCCCGAATTTTAAAGTGGGGAAAACCTGAACCCGCTCTCGCCCCCAGTCAACTCATGTTTTCTCCGTTAAACTCGAGATGGAGATAGGTCGGTCCCCACAGGTACGGGTTTAATTGTCATGCCTACTAGAAAGAAGGTAATGGGTATCCCAGTGGAGGTGGATGCCGAGAGGGGGTGTGCGGGTTTACTAAAGAAGATGTGCGTGAGGGAAGGTGAGAGGAGAGAGGATGAAGGTGGAGTAAGGGAATGGGTGAATGGTCAGTAAAAAAAAGTCTCACCTTCTCCAATATTTTGTCCCCATTTAAACAATATTTTTAGGTTAAAAACTAGGTAACGAAACACTATAGTTAAACATTTATTAATTTTTCTACAAATACTTTCATTTTGATTTTTTCTTTTTTCTTTTCTTTTTTTCTATATAATTTTTAATATAAGTGTAAAAATGTTAGATAGAATTAATTTTTCCTTTTCTCTCTTTTTTTCTTAAAGAAATTATTTTAATTATTATTATTATTTTCATTTTTTTCCTTTTCTTTTCATTTTTTAATAAATGTTGTTATCTATTTATTTTTTATCTACTAGACGAAATTTGGTGCTAACAACAACCTAAAATGACTATTATTTCATAATTTAGAGATCTAACACCAATGAATATGACCACACTGTTTGGAAAGCTAAGGAACCATGAATTAGAACTCGAAAGAATCAAAGAAGAAGAAGAAAGTGAAAGAAGACATTCTGTTGCATTAAAGACAACTACAAAGAAGATTGAATTTATGCAGGAAAATGAAGATGCAGACTTTGATAGTGAAAACTTGAATTTGTTGGTAATTTTTTTTTTCTAAGTTTCTTAAATATAAGAACAAATCTGCTAACAAATCTTCTACCAAACCATTTAAGAAATAGGAACAGGGAAACATTCCTATATGTTATGAGTGTGAAAAGGTTGGGCATATCCAGTGGCGGATCTTGACCATTGATCTTGGGAGGGCCAAATAATATATTATTAATAAATAATAAATAAATATAAAAGGAAGAAAGAAGATGAAAGGGTGAAAGGATAAAATTATAGATATATATTTAAATATATTAAATGATCATTAGGTTTGAGAGGAATAAAATTATAAATTATATGAGAGTTACTGAGGAGGGCTGAGAGGATAAAATTGTAAATATATACAAGTAAATATATTAAATGTTCATTAAGTTTGAGGGCCAAAATCATAAATTACATGGGAGTTACAAAACTTTGGGGGGGCCATGACCCCTCTCAGCTTCCAAGAAGATCCGCCACTGGGTATATCAAACGAGACTATGCAATGTTCAAAATGAAGCAAAAGCTAGAAGAGAGAAAGGAAGCCAAGAATAAGAAGAAGAAAAAGGCATACATTGCTTGGAAAGACAATACATCAAGTACTTCCCATAAATCAAGTGGAAATACAAATGAAGAAGCAAATTTTTATTTGATGATAGATGTTGACAGTGGCGGATCTTCTTGGGAGCTGAGGGAGGCCGTGCCCCCCCCCCAAAGTTTTGTAACTCCTATGTAATTTATGATTTTGGTCCCCCCAAACTTAATGAACATTTAATATATTTACTTGTATATTTACAATTTTATCCTCTCAGCCCCTCCTTATTTTTGTAACTCTCATATAATTTATGATTTTGTCCCCCTCAAACTTAATGATCATTTTATATATTTAAGTATATATTTACAATTTTATTCTTTCACCCTTTCATCTTCTTACTTCATTTTATATTTATTTATTATTTATTAATAATATATTATTTGGCCCCTCCAAGATTAATGGTCAAGATCCGCCACTGGATGTTGAAACATCAAGAAAATTCAGTGTAAGTACCATTGCATCTAATGATAAAAATAACTATTACCAGTTGTTGGATGCCTTTAATGAAATGCATGATGAAGCAAAAAACTTAGCACATTCTAATAATATGTTTAAGGGTGAAAATAGATGGCTGGAAAGTAGTTAAAACAACTTAAAAATGAAAATGAGAATTTAAAAATAGAATTGGAAACTTTAGAAATTAATAATAAGAATTTTGTGCATGAGTGAAATGATTGTAAAAACATTTAGAAATAGTTAAGTATCTTATAAAACCTCTTTCAAAATTATCAATAGGTAGAGCAAACCTAGATGCTGTATTGAATTCCCAAATAAGCACTTTAAATAAAGAAGGAATTGGATATACTGCTAATAGATTAGAGAGCCCATAAGTTTTTAAACATGAGAAAATAATCATTTGTAACATGTTTTTACTATTATGAGATTGGAGATACATCAAAAACTTGTTTTTACAAAAATTTTGGTGGTCTAAGAGGTAAATATAAATGGTTATCAAAAGGAAAATTGCATGTAACTAACATGAAAGGACCCAAATTTGATTGGGTACCTAAATAAATCTTTTAATATATTTTTTAGAAAAATATGGGTATGAAAAACTCAATGTGGTACTTGGATAGTGGATGCTCAAAACACATGACAAGTGACTTAAGTAAAATAAGAAATATCACTCTAAAAGTAGGTGGATATGTTATCTATGGTGATAACAAGGGGAAAATTCTTAGAATTGGTAAGATCGATAATAACTCTTCTCTAGTGATTGAAAATGTACTGCTGTGGAAGGATTAAAGCATAATTTGCTACGTATTAGTCAATTGTGTGATAAAGGTTTTAAATTAATTTTTAAAATAAATCACCGCATAATATTATTAGAAATACAGACTGAGATCAAGAGGAGGGTGAATTGATATAATTAAAAATTTTTCTCGACCTGTGAGTACAGATTATAAATTTCAAAGATTGAAGGACCCAATCAGTTCTTGAACCAAATAACAACAATCTGGAATGAAAGAAAGAGATGAAAGAAAATAAAGAAAACTAAGTTTATACTAGTTCACCTAATCTACTGGGTTACATCCAGTTCTCAACCAAATTGCAGTTGAGTTCTACTAATTAGAAATCGTTTGATTATAAGAACAGATTGTAAAAAACAATCTACACCAAACACTTTAACCCAGTTCTTGAACCTATGACAACAACCACAATTCTAGTTGCTTAAACTAGTGCCCAATATTCCAGATACCGAAAATACAATGAACCGAATGAGAAATTAAGAAACTAGAAGAAACTACAACAATCAAATTGGTATACAGATGCAAAGATCCAATCACAGAATGAGTTTCCTAAAAAAAACAAGAACAAAGAGCCTCAAGAAAGATTGTTAAGAAATTCTAATGAGAAAGATGCGTTTCTCTCTTAGAAAAGAACTCTAAAGATTGTTTAATTGATTTCTCAAAAGGTATGTTTTTGAAACGTTGGAGAAAATATGTTTATATAGAGATTTTTCTAACTAACTAATATGATTAATTCACATTTTAATCAATTAAAATAACTTGTCTTAAATGAATTTAACTCGATGAAATTCCTTTTAATCGATTAAAAGGTTTTGTCTAATTTTTCTTAAGACATTTTAATTGATAAAAACATAGTTTAATCGATTAAAACAATTTTGGAAATTTTTCAGAGACGTTTTAACTAATGAAAACGAGATTTAATTGATTATATCTGTGATACAAAATTTGTATAAGTGTTTTTAATCAATTATTTCAAAGATATCGATTAAAATTCTAATAGTAAGTTTTCTAAAACTTCTTAAGTGATTTTAATCACTTATTTCGAAGATATATTAATTAAAATTCTAACAAAAGGTTTTCTAAAACTTCTTAAGTGAATTTAATCGATTATTATATCAGTTAAAATTCCAACAGAAGGTTTTCCAAAACTTCTTAAGTGAAATTAATCGATGATTTCGAAGATATATTGATTAAAATTGTGACAGAAAGTATT